GGTGAGGGGCTGAACAGCTGCCCAGAGAGGCTGTGATGCCCCGTCCATCCCTGGAGGTGTTGGAGGCCAGGTTGGATGGGGCCCTGGGCAGCCTGGGCTGCTGTGAAATGTGGAGGTTGGTGGCCCTGCGTGTGGCAGGGGGTTGGAGCTTCGTGAGCCTTGAGCTCCTTTCCAGCCCTGGCCGTTCTGTGATTCTCCTGGCACGTCCTGCAGCACCGTGGCTGTGCAACAGCATCCCTGGAACAGCCTCCCCTCACAGCCTTTACCTCTGAGTGCCAACACAGCACCCGACGCCTGCGCAGCTCTGCCTGCAGCGTTCGCAGCTCTGCGCAGCACCTCCTGCCTGAGCACTGAGCAGAGCCCCTCTCCTTCTCCTCTCCACCTCAGCCTCCTCGGGGCTCTCATCCCTTCCCCACCAGGAGATGCTGCAGGGTGCTACGAGCCCAGCTGTGCCTTCCCCATCGCAGGGCAGAGGGGAAAAGCACCTCCTTCACCCGCTGGCCACGCTGTGTGCAATGCACCCCAGGCCCCATCAGACTTCTTGGCCACCAGGCAGCGCCTGTGAGCGGCCTGTTCCCCCCCTGCAGCAGGTTTTGGGTGTCCTGGACTCACCCTCAGCTCCTATGGACACCAGCTTGACGCCTTTGCTGGCGATGAAATCGAGTGCTTTGTTCACGTTGTTGATTTTGTGCACCCTCATCTTCCCTCGCTCCGGTTTTGGCAATCGCTCCCCTGGAAGGAAGAAGCAGCAAGGATTACAGCTCTCGTTGAGGGTAGAAGCCACCAAACAGAGAGGAAAGAAGCCATGGCACAGGACAGAGCTCTTTTTCAGCTGCCTGCGCCCGCTCGAGAAGCAAAACCCCAAGGAGCATCACCTGAGATCACCTCCAGGAGCAGCATCAGCTTCAGGCCGTCGCGGAAATCCTCGTCGATGTTCTCGATCTGCGTGCCGGCCTTCCGCAGGTGGGAGTTGCACCAGGCTGTGAAGGTCTGCAGGGGAGGACGCTCAGATTTAACCCCTAAGGCGGCACTGCCAGGGCGCTGCACCGCAGGGACCGCGGCACCTTGGCACCGAGGAACGAATGCTGGCGCCCGGCGGCAAATATTTGCTCCCAGGAGCCGCTGAAGGTCGTGGGGCCGAGCTGAGAGCAGAGCAGACCCTGCGTTGCTTCCCCCAGGCTCCGTTCCCAGCCCCTCACCCCGCTCCCCGCTGTTTCTTTGCAGCCCGACCCCACGGCAGGAGCCGCTCCTTCCTGCTGCCCGCAGCACCGCCTGCAGCCTGAGCTCACGGCTTCCTCTGAGGGTGTAAATGCTGAGTGCTGCGGGACGCGGCTGCTCCCCGGCGCAGCCCTCGCTCGAGAGAAATGCAATTAGAGGGCAAAGCTCACGGCGTGCCCGACTCCCACTGCCCAGCAGCCAGCCGGGGCTGAACGGTGCTTTGTTCGGCGCTGAGCTCACGGCCGGGGAATGCTGACAGCTCTTAACGAGCTGCGGGGCTGACGAGGACAGGGGGGAGCGAGGCAGCAGGGCTGGGAGCAGGTTTAGGGCTGGCTGGGATGGGGGGCACCGGCGCTGCTGGGGGTGGCGTGGAAGAGCAAGAGGGAGGGGGCTGCAAAGAGGCCGAAACGGCCCCAAAAAGCAGCGGGGCTGCGGCTCCCCACGCAGCAGGGGAGGCTTGGAGGGCTGTAGGACGAGAGGAGCGCTGGCACAGCAGTGCCGACCCCAAGCAGGACGGCGGGGTCACCCGGAGCGGTGCTGCGTCCCTGCAGAAGCCCCCCGCTGGCTTCGCAGACCCCAAAGGAGCGCCGAGCATCCCCAGATGAGCTCCCCAAAGGCGGCTGAGGTCTGCCCTGCGTGCAGCTCCCACCTCCTGGCAGCCCTTGGTGACCCTAAAGGCAAGCGAGCCGACGCTCCCGCCGTCCTTCTGATAAGAATTCCTTCCAGATCCATCACAACGTCTCTGGAACGGAGCGGAGCCGAGCACAGAGTCGCACGGAGGTCGGACGGCCGCTGCCCTCCCCGCGCCCCGCTGAGCGCAGCGCAATTAGCGCCCGGCCGCCTCGTTACGCAAGCGCCTCATTAACCAGACGAGGAGCTGGCTGATAATCAGCTCAGGTTTCCCAGCTCCCAGATTGCAGGAGGCTCACGGGGGGACCCTGCGTGGCGTTTGCTCACGGGACTCCGCTGCGCTCCGCTCGTTAGCTAATTACGGATAAGGAGCGATGCTGATCCCAGGGTGGGACTTTCCTGGCATGGAAAGCAGCGCAGCCCCTCTCAGGAGGGCACCGAGCTGAGGTTCAGTGGTCAGCAGTGCTCCAAAGTGTCACCAAAGTGTCACCAAAGTGTCACCAAAGTGTCACCCCTCGCTGTAACAGGAAGGTTCAGCCGACAGCAGCAGAGCAGGAATCCCACCCTGCTGCTTCAGCCAGCACAGAGCCCAGCCAGGAGCATCTCTTCCTCCTCCTCCTCCTCCTCCTCCTCCCTGCACAAAGCCCAAGGGCACGGCGGCCGTGGGGCAGAGGGCGCGGCGCTGCCAGGCCGAGATGTGGGCAGGGACCTGGGGTTATAAAGGCTGGGCAGTCAGCTTTATGGAGGCTTGGGCTGGAAGCAGGTTTGCTATGGAGGTTTGGGCAGCGACGTGGCTGCAGAAAGCCTTGGGTGCCAGCTGATAAAGGCCTGGGCAGGCAGCAGCTCCATGAAGGTCGGAGGCAAGATCCAAGGGGGTTGAAGGCAGGATCCACGAGGCTTGGATGCAGGATCCATGAGGGTTGGCTGCAGGGATCCACGAGGGTTGGATGCGGGATCCATGAGGGTTGGATGCGGGATCCATAAGGGTTGGGTGCAGGATCCACGAGGGTTGGGTGCAGGATCCATGAGGGTTGGCTGCAGGGATCCATAAGGGTTGGATGCAGGATCCATGAGGGTTGGGTGCGGGATCCATGAGGGCTGGCTGCAGGATCCACGAGGGTTGGGTGCAGGATCCAAAAGGGTTGGATGTGGGATCCACGAGGGTTGGCTGCAGGGATCCATGAGGGCTGGCTGCAGGGATCCATAAGGGTTGGCTGCAGGGATCCATGAGGGCTGGATGCGGGATCCATGAGGGCTGGCTGCAGGATCCACGAGGGTTGGGTGCAGGATCCATAAGGGTTGGATGTGGGATCCATGAGGGTTGGCTGCAGGGATCCATAAGGGTTGGATGCGGGATCCATGAGGGCTGGATGCAGGATCCACGAGGGTTGGCTGCAGGATCCACGAGGGTTGGCTGCAGGGATCCAGTGACATCAGAGCTCCTCCCGGGAGGTGAGCGCACGGCTGAGCCGCGTCCCCTGGGCGTTCCGTGCAGAGCAGAGCGGTGCTGCCCGTATAAGGGCAGGAGGCTGCAAACCCAGCAGCCCCACGGCTGCTCTCACAGCCCCACACCCATCGCGTGGCCCTGGGCTGCCTGCTGGGGAAGCAGCGCCAGGCAGGACGGCCCCGAAGACGGCAGGGCGGAAAACGGGCGTCAGGAGTGGAATCCCATCGTGCTAAAATAAGAACGGCCCCAAACGGGGACAAACCCCGAGGTTTTTCCGCTCCGTCTGGCAGGTGGGGGCCAGGATGCTGGGCGCAGGCCGTGCCGGGCGCTGCGTTCTCCATCAGCCCTCCGAGTTGCTGCCAGCCCGCAGGAGCTGCTCCCTGCAGAGCCAACGCGACACCGGGGGGGGTTAAAAATAGCTGCCGAGAGCAGAAGGTAATTAAAAGCCCGTTAACGGCCTCGCCAGGAGCTCCTTTCCTCAAAAGAGCGAGGAGCTCTTCCAACTGCAATCAATCTCCCGATGCTGCTCGGCACGACGCCGGGCATCGGGGCTGGAGGAGCAGCAGAGCGCGGCGCTGCCGGGCTGCAGAGCCTTGTTTGCTGGGTGCTGCACCCAGCCTCGAACCGGGCAGGGAGGTGAGGAGCTCGGCACGGCCTGCCTTGCGATCTTTGGGCACTGAAGCGCGGCTGAGCTTGGAGCTGCTTTGCAGCCCTGCGCCCAGCTGAGCTCCGAGCGAAGCCCGCGTGGGGACGGGGCACGGAACGGGCTGCCGAAGGAACAGCAATATGTTCCGAATCACCAAGTTCCTAAAAAAGGATATTCCACATCTGCTGCTGGAATTTCCTTCCCACGGAGGCGCTGCCGAAATGCTTTCCAGGCATTGTATCAAAGCCGCCTTTGTTGGGAGGAAGCGGCGGCCCCGCGGAGCACCTCGAGCTGCAGGGCGGCCCCCCATGGGCCTTCGGAGCCCGCGGGGTGGGCATGAATCCGTGCGGCTCCGTGGGCTCAGACGGCCGGCAGCTCCTCCGTTCAGAACCAGGCCTTCGTTTCAGCACAATCCGATTTCGGGTCCGACCGACGGCTTTTTCCAATCTGGACTTTTTTGGGATGACGAAGCTTGGGGGGGGGGGTGGCACAGGGCTGGGGGGGGCTCCTCCCTTGGCAGTGTCACCTGCATTGTCCTCGGCCCGGCAGGAAGTTCATTACGGCAGGAAACGCTTATCGGCCGCTCTGAGATGTCCTGGAGACCAAACAGCGCACAGCGTTCCTCCGCGCCGTCGTTAATGACCATTAATTAACGAGCCACCTGACGGCCCGCGATCTGCTTGTGTTGGGGCACAAATGGGAGCGACGGCTGCTTCCCAAAGCGGAGCAGCGGATTCACCATCGCACGCCCAACGCGGCAGCGAATCCCAGCTCCTGCCTACGGCCGCTCCTCTCCGTCCCGTTGTTTTCTGCCCTCCGTTTGGTGCTACTGGGAGGAGGACAAACTGGGAAGCGGCCGACGGGCCAAAATTCCCCTCATTCTTTGTCCTTATTAGGCCTGCAGCGCCAGAGAAAGAGGAGAAGGAGGAGAAGGAGGAGGGTCAGGAGAGGGCAGCTCTGACCTCACCTGGCCATGCTGTGTGGATGTGGGATCCCACTGACCTCACCTGGCCATGCTGTGTGGATGTGGGATCCCACTGACCTCACCTGGCCATGCCGTATGGATGTGGGATCCCACTGACCTCACCTGGCCATGCTGTATGGGATCCCACTGACCTCACCTGGCCATGCTGTGTGGATATGGGATCCCACTGACCTCACCTGGCCATGCTGTATGGGATCCTACTGACCTCACCTGGCCATGCCGTATGGATGTGGGATCCCACTGACCTCACCTGGCCATGCTGTATGGAAGTGGGATCCCACTGACCTCACCTGGCCATGCTGTATGGATGTGGGATCCCACTGACCTCACCTGGCCATGCTGTATGGATGTGGGATCCCACTGACCTCACCTGGCCATGCTGTATGGATGTGGGATCCCACTGACCTCACCTGGTGATGCTGTATGGATGTGGGATCCCACTGACCTCACCTGGCCATGCTGTATGGGATCCCACTGACCTCACCTGGCCATGCTGTATGGATGTGGGATCCCACTGACCTCACCTGGCCATGCTGTATGGATATGGGATCCACTGACCTCACCTGGCCATGCTGTATGGATGTGGGATCCACTGACCTCACCTGGCCATGCTGTATGGATGTGGGATCCCACTGACCTCACCTGGCCATGCTGTGTGGATGTGGGATCCCACTGACCTCACCTGGCCATGCTGTATGGATGTGGGATCTCACTGACCTCACCTGGCCATGCTGTATGGAAGTGGGATCCCACTGACCTCACCTGGCCATGCTGTGTGGATGTGGGATCCCACTGACCTCACCTGGCCATGCTGTATGGATGTGGGATCCACTGACCTCACCTGGCCATGCTGTATGGATGTGGGATCCCACTGACCTCACCTGGCCATGCTGTGTGGATGTGGGATCCCACTGACCTCACCTGGCCATGCTGTATGGATATGGGATCCCACTGACCTCACCTGGCCATGCTGTATGGGATCCTACTGACCTCACCTGGCCATGCTGTATGGATGTGGGATCCCACTGACCTCACCTGGCCATGCTGTGTGGATGTGGGATCCCACTGACCTCACCTGGCCATGCTGTATGGATGTGGGATCCCACTGACCTCACCTGGCCATGCTGTATGGGATCCCACTGACCTCACCTGGCCATGCTGTACAGGATGTGGGATCCCACTGACCTCACCTGGCCATGCTGTATGGATATGGGATCCACTGACCTCACCTGGCCATGCTGTATGGATGTGGGATCCCACTGACCTCACCTGGCCATGCTGTGTGGATATGGGATCCCACTGACCTCACCTGGCCATGCTGTGTGGATGTGGGATCCCACTGACCTCACCTGGCCATGCTGTATGGATGTGGGATCCCACTGACCTCACCTGGCCATGCTGTATGGGATCCCACTGACCTCACCTGGCCATGCTGTATGGATGTGGGATCCCATCACCTCACCTGGCCATGCTGTATGGACGTGGGATCCCACAGCTGCCCCCCGGGATCCCGGAGGGCCCCGAATTGATGCTGGCTGTGCTCCAGGCCAGAAACCCAACAGAAACCAGGCGGGTGATAAGAGGCTGAGTCAGGGCAGCGGCGCAGGGCGGACCCGCATTCCTGCCTGGCACACCTTGCACCAGGACGACGAGCTGCACCGAGCTGCTTCCCTGGCGTCGGGCAACTTTTGTACAGCCGAACGTGAGCTGCTGCTGGAGGTTGCCCCCCGTTTGGGGCACAAAAAACAAGGCAACCCCAGCAGGGAGGCGCTGGGATCGCTTCAGCTCCGTGCCCAGGGCTGAAAACGCACGGGACGGAGCAGCGACGCCGCGGGGACGGGCTGAGGGTGATGGCGTGGTGCAGAAAGCTCTGGGGAGACCTTTCTGCTGCCCCCCGGTCCTGACGGGAGCTGGTGAACACGAGGACGACGACCCGGGAGGTCCCTTCCTGCCCGACCGTCTGTTGGATGATCTTTAGGGTCCCCTCCAACCCCAAACGGTGCTTTCTGAAGCACAGCCTCCATCCCCGCTCAGTGCAGAGGCTCGAGGAGCAGCCGCAGAACGGCCGGGTTGGGAGGAACCTCTGAGAGCGGAGAAGCGCAGAACGGTAGGGTTGGGAGGGAGCCCGAAGCCCCCCCAGCTCCATCCCCGCTGCAGGCTGGCTGCCCCCACCAGCTGAGGGTCCCAGGGCCCCACGCGTGACCTCAGCCACCTCCAGCCACCAGATTTCCCCAGCAAAGGCCCGAGACGCTTCCAGGAGCCGAGGGCTCACGGCGCTGCGCTCAGACACGGCGAGCTCCCAGGGCCGGATGTTTGGCTTTGGAGGGGAACCAAGAATCCAGGCTGCAGCCGCTGGTGGAGCACGCGATCCCAACTGCCCCCCAGGGCGTGGGGCAGAGCCCCATTGCAGCCCCATCGCAGCCGTGCTCCCTCGGAGGCACAGAGATGCGCCCTCCCCACCCCCAGCCCCTCTGCAGGACCCCCTATGGGCGCCTGTTTACCCAGAGGGGGACGTGGGGCAGCCCCACGAGCAGCGCCAGCCTCCCGACTCCAAACTCAGCTCATCCCTCTCCCAAGGCGCGCTCATTACCGCGCCTCGTTACCGCAGCTCATTAGCGAGCCTCGTTTACCAGCCCCGCTCGCCCAAGGACACCCAATTTGCGCCGCTCCTTTCCCAGTCCCAACATTCGGAAGCTGCCGGAAACACACAGAGTTATTTAGGGCCACATCCTGGCCCCGATCCTCGTCTGCTGCGTGTTTGGGAGCACAGAGGATGCAGCCTGAGTTCTTTAGCCGCATAGCTGGGATTCCAGCGTGGAACCCCGGGGATGGGACGCATTCCAGCGGCTGGACGGCCGCACGGCGCTGCCCCCGTCCCCGCTGAGCACGTGAAAAGCTGCCCGCTCTGCCTTCTTTATAAGGGAAAAGCCTCGGAGCTTCGCATCTCGGCCCAAACCGTGCGGAGGGGGGGGGAGAAGGAGAGATCGGAAACGCTCCCAAAAAAAGGCAAATCGGTGCGGATGGAGGAGGAGGAGAGGGGAAGGTCCGACCTCGCAGCCGCGATGCTGCGCTGCCTCTGGGCCGCGTGGGCAACAGAGCTGCGTCCAAACATCACACCTCACCGCTGCGGGATCGGCAGAGAGGAGCCCTGCGCACCCCTGGGCCCATCGCCCCGCAGACACAGCGGCGTTCGCAGGGCGGCCGACCCCAAAGCTGCCCCACGGCCGGCCCTCGGACCCCAACGCGGGTCTTCAGGTTTGCAAGGCGTCGCTCACGGCGCCGAAAACAGCACGGAAAGGCTGCTCCAAACCCAGGCCTGCCTCCCCCACAGCCGCTGCCAGGCGTTGAGGGGAGGAGGAGGAGGAGGAGGAGGCCCGGCACACCCTGTGTGCCATTCCACAACGTCACCGCAGCAGCAGCGGGGCACGGAACGCAACATTCCTGAGCCTCCATAGGTGTCGTCCAGGTGCGGCAACACCCAGAATCACAGAATCGTAGGGGTTGGAAGGGATCTCCAGAGATCATCGAGTCCAACCCCCAGCGCCCAGGCCAGGGGTGCGGGGAGGGAGGCCGGAGGTCCCTGGGCAGGGTTTCACCCCATAGGGCGCAGGAACATGGCGGTGCCGCCGAGCTCCCATGTCGGACGCACACACAGCCGGTGTCAGCTCCTCCTCCACCTCCACGCAGCGCCTTTTGCTCCTGCTGTACTCCCAGCTCCCTCCCCAGCCGCCCGTAATTAAGGTAATTAAACCAAATAGCAGATGGTCACCTGCTGCCAGCGGACCCCACGGCCCCAAACAGTTACAGGAGAGGGGAACGGGATGGGCAGCGGCGATCCTCACACCGTGCAGCAGCTGAGAGCCTTCCTCCTCCTCCTCCTCCTCCCCCCTTCCCCTCCTTCTCCTCCTCCTCTCCCCCAGTGCCCTTTCGTCCCTTTGCATTTCCCCATTCCCGTGCTCAGAGCGGATCTCTGCCCCCATCTCCTCCTCACGCTCAGTTCTGCGCTCCCAAAGGTTTTGGGCTCCAGGGAACGAAGCCCATTCGGACACCCCCCCACCCCTCCCCTCCCCTCCTCCCTCTCCCCTCAGAGCCCCCAGCCCCAACCTCAGCCCCACAGGCAGCTCAGACCCAACCTCAGGTCTCTGTTACCCAAAACCCCCGCAGGACTCTCCGCACCCCCCCCCCCCCACGGCCCGCGTTCCCTCAGAGCCCCCCGCAGCCCCCCCAGGCCCAGTCGCACACCTCAGAGCCGCACTACTGAAGCCCCCAGGATCCCCCCCTGCCCCTCAGGGCCCATCAGGACCCCCCCCCCCCCCGGTTCTGTGCTACCCCACAGACCCCCCTCAAGCTCAGCCCCCCACTTCAGCTCTCTACCACCAGAGCTTCCCAACGCCTCAGGACCCCCCCAGGCCTCCAATCCCCCACAGACCCCCAGACTCCTCCCAGGCTCAGCCTCCCTGCCTCAAACTCTCCATCACCAGAGCTCCTCAAACCCCCCGAGGCCTCCGTTCCCCCACAGACCCCCCCCCAGGCTCAGCCCCCCCACCTCAACTCTCTCTCACCCGAGCTTCCCAAACCCCCCCCAGGCCCCCCCAAGCTCAACGCCCCACCTCAGCTCTCTATCACCAGAGCTCCCCAACCCCTCAGGACCCCCCCAGGCCTCCATTCCCCCACACCCCCAGCCCTCCATCGCCTCCCAGCATCCCCCCCCCCCCGGAATCCCCAGGCCTCAGCCCCCCACCCGGCCCCACCTTCCTCTGCTGCTTCTCCCAGGCGGGATCGAGCAGCAGGTCCCGGTCCCAGTCGTCTTCCTGGGCCATGTAATCGCCGTTAGGGCCCGGCCCGTTCCCGCCGTAGTGGTAGGGCTGCCCGGCGCTGTGGTAATCCACCATGGCGCTCCGCTGCGCTCCGCTCCCACCGCCGCGCCGACGGCACTGCGCCCTCCAACACTGCGCGTGCGCGACGCGCCCACGCGAGACCCCGCCCCCTCCCGAAGCCCCGCCCCCTCCGCGCTCCTCAGACCACACCCACCGGAGACCCCGCCCACTCGGCGCCCACCCTCCCTTTATTAATATTCATGAGGTAGGATGAGCCGGCTTTGCGGCTCCTCCTTCTTATTAATATTAATGAGCCCACACTGCGCCATCAGAACACTCGCGTATTAACCCCTCCCCTCCCAATTAAGCAATTAGCGAGCTCTTGATTGTGCACTCATCCATTAATCGTTATGTATTTAACGCGCCCACCCGTCTGCAGCACCTGAGATCAGGGTCATTAATATTAATGAGCAACACCAAGCACCCCACCACCTATTATCACTCAGTTATTGAAACAATCACACTATTGTTAACGAGCTCCTGTATGCAGCACACACGTGTACCAATTAATAGCCAATTAATTGCATGGCTGTTGAACCAACACCTCTTAATTATTATGCATAACGCCCCAGTCATTTATTATGCATAATTATGATATGAATATTCATGGAGGGACTCCCCCCCAGCAAGAAGGCCACCCCACAGGGATCCGACCCCACTGCTCCCCCAGGCAGCACACAGCACACTGGAAGTTTCTCTTTTACTTTGAGACAATTAAAATCCACTGTGTTAACGAGGACGGGGGGTTGGGGCTCAGAGCGACGAGGCCATGATGCTGGAGACACCTGCAGGAAGGTCGGGGAGGGGGGTGGGGGGTCAGCAGCAGGCCGGGTTTCTGCGTGCCCCCTCCCCACCCCCTGCACCCACTGTCAAAGTCGATTTTCTCCACGATGTTCTTGGGTTTGATGCTCTCCTCCTGGTTGCAGATGAACACCTTGCCGGGCTCCGGCTCCGTCCATCCGTATTTGCTCATCCACACCTTCAGCTGTGCCTCTGAGCAGGGGGGGGGGGCGGGGACAGAGCACCGTGTCACCCCTCTGTCACCTAACGTTCCCCCCCCCCCCCCCCCCGTGCCCCTCCCCCCATACCTGAGAGGTCCCCCAGCATCTCAGCCAGCAGCCAGCGGTCAATGTGTTGGTATGTGATGCCCACCACGTGGCAAATGACTGCAGGGAGAAACCTGGCTCAGTCCTGGCCCTAAAACGCCCCCAAAAGCCCCTCAGCAGCCCCCGCTGCCTCCCCCAAATGCCACCTCACATTTTCGCACGGAGTCCTCGAAGCCAGCAATCCCATCCAACAGCTCCATGTTCTCATCCAGGGCTTGCTGTGGGGACAAAACACCGTTAGCGCCTCCATCCCTGCAGTGCCAACGACCCCGCGGGGCTGCGAGGACTCACCCAGAAGGACTGGAAATGGCACGTCTCCAGCAGCTCCCCCAGGTAAAGGATCTGCCGGATGGGCCGCTCCTCCTGCTGCCCACGGGTGTCAAGGGAAACAAACGAGCCCACCCCAAATCCCTGCCCTCTGCCGCGCACTGAGGGGTGGCGCACACCAAACCCACGCTCAGCGTGGAGCGAGGCACCCCAAACCTCCACTCCTAACTCTCCCACTCGGCAGGACACCTCAAATCCCCGCTCGTGACGGATGGGGGCATCCATTCCAAACCCCACACAGCTCAATAAGGTACAGCGAATTGCCTTAGGAAGCCCTTAGCGTCCACCAGAGCAGCCTGGAGAGCTGCAGAGCACCGCCATCACCGCACAGACACCCGGGTTTGGGCTGAGCTCAGCATCACAGCCAGCTCCTAAACCCCCCACCCGGCCCTTAAGCCCCCCCAAAGGGGGAGGATACATGGGCCTGGTCGATCATGCACTTGCAAAGCGTGAAGTCGGTGTGGGGGAGGTTGGTGAGGGCCTTCAGCAGGATCTGCGCCGTCACCGTGGTCTGGAAGAAGGCAGGGTTGAACTGATACCTGTGTGCGAGGGGGGGAGGGTTATGGAGAGCAATAGGGGGACGAAAAGAGAGGGGGGTTATGGAGACTAACATGGGGACAAGAAGAGGGGGGTTATGGAGAGCAATGGGGGACGAAAAGGGGCCGTTACGGGGGGGGGGGGCAGAGGAAGAGTTTCGAGGAGCGTCCTCCCCCGCCCTGCTCACAGCTTCAGCACAGCCAGGTTGGCCTCCAGATCGTAGGCATTCTCCTTAGCCTGCGTCTCCACGTAACGCTCCAACGTCGCCAGGTTTTCAGGGTTGTACCTAAAGAGAGACGAAAAGTCACCGAAAAGAAGCACCGACTCGGCCTCCACGAAGCCTCGGCTCCCCGCAGCCCCCAACTCCCGGCTCCACGCCCCGATCTCAGGCCTCAACCCCCGGCTCCAGGCTCGCCCCGCACACCGCCATCCCCTCCGCTTCCCCCGGTCCCGGTACCGATCGATTCCCCGCAGCAATTTGCCCACGTTGGCCCTCATCTGCTCAAACAGCGCCATGACGCGAAGAGCCTCAACCACCGGAAAGGAAGAGAAAGAGCCGGCTTCCGGTGGCCGCGGCAACTTCCGCTTCCTGCGCGGGCGCTCGCTAAGCATGATGGGAAAGCGAGTTGAAAACACGCACTGCGCAACCGCAGAAAGAGAAAGCAGCAGGAAAAAGGGGGGAGGGAGATATACCCGAAGGCCACGCCCACACAGTCAGACCACTCCCACACCATCAAAGCCACGCCCACAAACTGGCAGGCCGTGCCCAGACTGACAAGCCGCCACACCGGCAAGCCACGCCCACAAATTGGCAGGCCACGCCCACCGCTCGCGGCGCCCTCTTCCGGTCGTGGCACGTGGCAGCGGCCAGCCTGCGCCGGGCTGGGCCTGACTCAGCCAAACTGGGCCAAAATGGGCCAAAAACGGGTCAATAACGGGGGTAAAGCGAGGTCAAAACTCACCCACATCCCAGAGGGGATCGAAATAAGAGCCACTGGGCGGGAGGGAGGCAGGCTGTGCTCAGCTGGGCAGCGTGAGGCTTCCTGGGATGGAGCACTGGGACAGTGGGAGTAAATGGGAGAAAACCGTGAGGATGGACTGGGGGGGGGGGGGGGGCACGGAGAGCCGCACTGGGAACGTTCCAGAACCGGGCTGTGCTACGCTGCAGCCGCACCGGGATCCTCTGGAGGCCCACTGGGGTTTAATGGGCAAACGGGGGGCTGAGCTGAGACCAGAGCAGGAGAAAATGGGGTCGAAGTCGTTGTGCGGCATGTTGGGCCCTAATGGGATCCGTGAGGCCTGGCCGCTCCCCGTCCTCGCAGTGCCTCAGTTGTGGGGGGGGGTTTCCCTTCCAGCTCTGTGGTTTGGCACGGGGGGGGGGAGGCCCCCCCGGATGCCCCTGTCCACATGGGTTGTGCCTCAGTTTCCCCTTCCGCCGCGCTGCCTTGTGGGGAGCTGGGGGGGGTTGGGGAGGGGGGCCGTCAGCTCCGCGCTGCCGCCACTGCCAGCATCCGGGGGGGGCACGGGTGGGGGGGGGGCTCAGCCATGGACCCCCGGCTCCTCTGCATCGCCGCCCGCGACCCCCAGGAAGACTTTGAGGTGCTGCAACGCCTTGGGGGGGGCACCTATGGGGACGTCTTCAAGGTGACCAGGGCCCAAAAATCATGGCGGGGGGTGGAGGGGGGGTGGGATTCACTGCGGCCTCCATACGCGGCCACCGTGGGGCTCCCTGTTGTGGGGGGGGTCGGGCATCCCCACCCGGTGCCCTGGGGGGGGAAGTTGTGTGAAATGGAGTCCAGGTGCCTCCGAATTCCTCCTCCCCCCCCCCCCCCCCCCCCCAGGGCTCTCAGTTCCCTCCCAGTCCTTCCTGGTGGCATTTTGTGTCCCCAAGGAGCCCCAACCTCCTCGCTTCTGTCGGAAGGTTCAGCCAACTTCATCCTGCGACGGGGGCACTGGGGGGGGGGATTGGGGGGGGGGTACTGGGATTACTGGGAGCTGCTGGAGCAGGAAGGCAGGGTAGCGGGGTCCCAGCACAGCCTTAACCCGCCCCCCCCCCCCTTGGCTGCCCCCCAGGCCCGCAGCAAAGCCACTGGCGAGCTGGCAGCTATCAAGGTGGTCAAAATGGAAGCAGGTGAGGAAGGGGGGGGGGGCTTTAGCCAGGGTCCTTAATGCCCCCCACTGCCGCCCCCAGGACCCTTAAAGCCCTCATGTATCCCCAGGACCCACTCACACCCCTTTGCATCACCATCCCCCCCCCCAACTTCTCAGTATTCCCCCCACATCCCTTAATTCTTCCCGCTCCCTTTCCATGTCCCTGCAGAACTCTTTAATACCTTGCAATACCCCATAAACCCCTCCCCCTCCCCCCCCCATATTCCCCAGGACCCCTCGTTCCCCCTCCAAGACCCTTCATTCGCCCCCAGGACCCCTCATCCCTCCCAGGACCCCTCATTCCCCCCCCAAGGCCCCTCATCCCCTCTAAGACCCCTCGTTCCCCCCCAAGTCCCCTCATTCCCCCCCCAGACCCCTCGTTCACACCCCCAGGAACCCACGTTTCCCCCCAAGACCCCTTAACGTCCCCCCCATATCCTTTATTCTCCCCCCCCCCCCAAGATGACGACTGCGCCACGATCCAGCAGGAGATCCTGATGATCCGCTCCTGCCAGCACCCCAACATCGTCGCCTATTTCGGCAGCTACAGCTGGTCAGCTTCCCCCCCCCCCCCCAAAAAAAGCCCTTTGGACCCCCACCCTCCCCCCTCCCCTACCCCCATTAACCCCTTCCTGCCCATGCAGGTGCAACAAGCTGTGGATCTGCATGGAGCTGTGTGGTGGGGGCTCCCTGCAGGACATCTACAACGGTAGGAGGGGGCACAGAAATATATTTGGGGGGGGGGGGGTTCAGAGGGGGGCAGCACCCTGGGACCCCCCCCTAAACTTTACCCCTGTCCCCTCAGTGACCGGACCCCTCTCAGAGCCACAGATCGCATATGTGTGCAGGGAGACCCTGGAGGTGAGTGACTGAGTGACCCCCCCCCCCCCCCTTCCCTGGGGACAAGGGGGGGCTGGGGACAAGGGGGGGTTGGGGACAAGGGGGGGTTGGGGACCCCCCCAGCTCTATAGCAGGGGCTGATCCCCCCCCCTCTGTGCCCACAGGGGCTGTCCTACCTGCATTGCCAGGGCAAAATCCACCGTGATATCAAGGTAAGGGGGGCACAAGTTGGGGGGGGTGGTGCAAATTGGTGGAGAATAAATTGAGGGGGGGGGGGGGGCAGGGGGGACAAATGAGGGGGTGTCTGACCCCATGCCGTGGCTGCAGGGAGCCAACATCCTCATCAACGACAGCGGGGAGGTGAAGCTGGGTGAGTGCTGGGGGAGCAGCGGGGGCACAAAAAAGGGGGCTGGGGGGGGAAACGATGGAGCTTGGGGGGGGGGCAAAAGTGGGGAAAGGGGAGGAGGAGAAAGGGCTGCAGGGATTGGGGGGAGCGGGTGGGGAACTGGGGGTCTTAGGGTCGAACTGGGGGTCTCAGAGGGGCTGGAGAGCAGTTGGGGATTTGGAAATGGGGAGCTGGGAAGTGAGAAGGGACCAGGAGGGGTTAAATATTGGGGGAGGACTGGGTGGGATTGGGGGGGGGGGTAAGGAGGGAATGGGGAGGGGGCTCTGGGAGGAATGGGGGGGCACTGGGAGGAATGGGGGCGTTGGGGGGAAGCTGGGCTTGGAACTGGGGACTGGGGAGGGCGCAGGGTGGAACTGGGAGCAGTGGGAGGGATGGGGGGGGGGGGCGGTAGGGAATGAAGGGGTGGAAATGAGGAATGGGGGGCATGGGGGGGCAGGATGACAAATATATGGGGGGGGGGGAATGGGGTGTTATTGGGGGGGGGCTCTGTGTCCAGGTGGGCAGCAGGACCCCATCCC